TGGGGCACCTGTGATAGTTGTTGATGGTCAGTTGCTGTAGGGTTTTCATTTTATACAGAACAATGGTAGATCACCCTTCTCCATGAGATCCAGTTTTCTACGCACAGGGAGAGGTCTATAGCCAGCCTAAAATTTATGTGAGGGAGAGTGCCAAAGAAGTAGAGAGGGCAGTTCATCCTTTTAAAGACAAAATTATAATCTCTTCAAAATTATTTTTAATTTAGAAGAATTAGAGATGTGCAGGGGTCATGCCTCTTCTCTAGGTTCACATGGAGAATTGTTCTGTATGGGATATCATCCAGTCATATCAGCCCCTAACTTACTAGAGCTTAAAGTATTCCGGCTCTGACACATCAATTTCACCCTGCTGAGAGAGCTAACCCTTAGTCACAATACTGACAGTAGGAGATGCTTCCCTAAAAGAATTCAGCACTTTGTGTCATGTTCTGCTGGCACAGAATTGAGTTCCAGGCAGCCATTTGTGATGCACTCTGTATAAGACCAGCTGCTCTGAGGAGGACCTTGACAAAGGGTTGTCTGTAGACCCTCTCCTGTGTTCATAGGCTCATGCAGACTTACCTGCTCGTAGCAGTGATGTGGGCAGCAACTGGGGTGCCCAGGAGCCCTCTTCTTTTCAGGAACGTTATTTATTTGAAGGTCATCTGATTCAAGTTAAGGATAATGAGCCATAAGAACTGTTGCCCATCTAGTTAGCGCCTGGAAGGATGTGGAGTGGCCACCACCAGCAGCAGTGATGAACAGCTCTGAGTGGCTTGGACTTACCTGTGAGACCCTCTCAGACTTCGCCCTCAGGGAAGGACCCCTAGTCCTACCAATCAACCGATTCTGTGTAGCTCTTTCAGCTTTTCCTTCTTAAGGGATTTTTTTTTTCCTGGAAAGAAAAAAAGGTGGAAGAAGTGGTAGAAAAACATGGAAGGGCTATAGATTGAACACAATGTCATGAATCCCCCAAAGCCAGATGATTGCACCATAAAAGCCTCATCTGGGAATGCCTCATCACCACCCATGCTACACTACAGTTCTACTCAGTCCTAACGAGGGAAAGCAGCTTTGGAATTATAAGAGACTGTGAAGCACTTTCCAGCCTAATATGGTACCCAGAATCTGGAGGTACGCCAGACCTCCTTAGTGCTTGATTTTAAGACAAGCAATGGATTTACACTGAGTCATTTATTGTCACACTACATTTATTTCAGTGGAATATTTTCCCCCAGAATATTGTTTTTATACAGAAGAACAGGCTATTCCTATTTTAGATGATCTCAGTGTCATTTTGTTCTGGCTTTATTGTTGCCTATTTGTAAGCTGACTTCATTTTTTAATGACAAGGTATTAGTATTAGAAATGGCCATTCATAAATAAATATCAGTGGTTGGATCAGGGTTTATTGACCCAAGATCCATTGGAATCAATGGGAACTATGTTAGGTCATGATTAACTTCACAGGGATCCAAGTTAATTGAATTTAGTGTGGCTGCAATGCAATTTATCTTAGAGATGCAAGAGGAAAACATTGCTGTTTTGCTTGCTTGTCAAGCTTTTGCTAGCCCTTTGCAGTATATCAAGTTTTTCCACATAAGGCTTTTATTGTGCCTTTGCAGTTCCTTACTAACAGTTGCTTATAGATGCTTTAGAAATCATCACTGTTATTGCAAAGCATTTTTGCTGAGGGGTGGGCATTGGAGCAGCGGAAATTCAATATTTTTTGCAATTGGGAAATAAAGCAGTAGCCCCCTGCAGTGCAGAGATATTATCCTGCTATATCACAGGGCCACCCAGCAGCTTATTTATGCACTTACATGGGACGTATGGACAGGAAGGAAAGGAGCTCTGATCTTAATTCTGTAATGAAACTGGAAGTAGAAAGAGTAGGTTAAACAGCTTCATGCAGAACAACTCAATGGGTGGCCAAGAGATAAGACATCAGGCATTGATACAGCCTCTCTGGGGTCCAGGTTCACCCGCCACCCCTTCTTCTCACCCTCTTTGGAGAGCAGTTCTGCTGCAGGCTGGGAACACCTGTCATCCACCTCCATTTACATTCTGCTTTGATGTTATTAAATCAAGCAAATCTTTCAAAAAATTCAGTCTCCAGCACTCTCATCTCACTCCCTGAAAGCGTTTACTGCTTTGTGAAGCAGGGAGGTTTGGGCAGTATTCTTAGCTTATCTGTACTTATTGTACTGAAAAGCTGATTTGGAAGAAGTGGCTGGTTTAATGGTTGAGGCAAAAATGGCAATAGCCTTGCACAGGAAGACATCCTTTCTGCCTCCTTTGCATATTAGAAAGATGGTTTGTTACTTTATTTTGTTTTGTTTGCAGAATATGAGGTATATTCTGTGCTGCTGTTATTAAAAAGCATTATATGTATGCTTTATATATATGCTTCCCTCCTACTCAAGGAAGATGTGATACCAGAAATATGACTATATTAAATTCTCTGTCTATCCATTTCTATGCTCAGTGGAATTTCATTTCTGCCTTTTACTTTATTTCACATTTTAGTAACTTGCTGGGAAATCAGACAGTCTAACTGTCAGAAGGATATTATTGTTTGCCATTTTGCTTCCCTCCAAGCACACAAATAACTAGTCCATGTCTACACCAGCATTTCTCCAGGTTGGTTCAGCCTTCAATTCACAAGACCATTCAAGTCAGCTTTTGGTTGTCTTGGAAGATTTATTCATGTGCTTACACGGCAAACTCACTGCCAGTGCCTACTAAATAAAGACCAGCAAAAGCACACTGGAAGTCAGTTCAAATACTGCAAACAGCCTTTGCTGTAGCAGCTTCACCATGTGGAGGAAACAAATCCTGCTGAAAGAAAAACAGTAATATATAGGAAGCAAAGGCAAAATGATCAGAGCTTGGAAACAGAAGGCTCCATCACTGCCATCCCCATGGCAAACATGGACCTGCGAGAAAGATGCTCTGTCTGGAAAACCCATCATTGTAATGGTATCTGCTACATCATGGTGTTGCAAAGTCTTGCAAAGCCTCAAGTGGTTTGCTCCTAGACGGCAACTAGTTTGCTAAATCTGTGCTTGCAATAACACTTAACAAAAAGTGGAAATATTCTGAATAAGCTCAGAATAGTCACAGATGCATGTCTATCTAGTTACCTATCACAGCCTACAATGTCAGGTTCCATTGTATGCTGTACTGCACTCCAAAATTGGCAGACCAAACTCTTGGGTATTGGGGTAGGCAGCTTGGAAGCTCCAGGGACCATTTTGCTTGCCCAGTTTCTCTCCCCTGCTCGACACACTCCTGTAATGGCTGCCAGCACCCCATGGACTTCCACAGGATACTGGCAGCAGCCACCGCCCCCCCCCCACACACACACACAATCCAGTGGTTTGCTTCCATAGCTCAGTAGCAAACAGCTATGGAATATTTGAAATATAGTTTATGCTAGGGAAGAAAAGAGCACTGTGTAGAGTTTTGGCAGCCTAGTGGCAGAGGGTGGTGGGGTACACATGTTTATCATTATTTTCAATTACATTTATATCCAGAATTCCCCCCTTGTTAAGGAACCCTGGGTGGCTTTCATGGCCCTCCGCATCTCCACTTTATCCTCACAAGGACCCTGTTAGGTGAGGCTGAGAGTCTCCAAGCTTCAGGGCCGCCTGGGGACTAGAACCCAGCTCTCCAACATGCCAACCACTTGCCACCCTGGCTTCTCACTGCACCACATGCAGCCCCCCACACTGCCCTACAAATAGCTCCCACACTATGCACCCCTGTTGTAGACAGTTACGCCTCTGGGAAGAATGGAGAGAACGATACTAAAAGGATGTCACCAGAAGAAACAGGTGGACCTTCAAATGTATTTTGACTGACTTAGTTAAATGTTTGGCAGCTTCTATCATGCTCTGTTCAATTACAATCTCCTAACTTGAACCTGATGCACAAAAACAGCTAGAAAAGAAACCTTTGAGTATGAAGTCATTAAAGGCTTAAGAAGCAGAACTTTAAATAGGGGGACACATATCCCTGCACAATATAACTTACCAGTTACAGCAAAACTGGTGATGCTTTGAAAAGCCACCTAGACAGGAAGAAATGAAGATATTTATCAGGAGTAATTAATGCAATGTTAGGTTTCCTGTGTTTATGTATGTATTACCTTGATCAAGATGGAAAGGGATGTCCACTCTCTGTATGTGCGTGAGTGTGTGTGTGAGAGAGAACAACAGGGATGACAATGGAGCCAGACAGCAGGAACCAACCAGAGAGGGCAGCTCCCAGACTATAAAACCCAGACCCAAGCAGCAGGCACATTTCACACAGCCCGAGAAATGAGCTGCATTTAGACCGAGCACCTATCACCAGCATCCAAGAAGAGATCCAGCTACTTGAATTTTGGATTTATTTATAAATGTCCACTTTTATTCAATGGACTCTCTAGATGGAAACTGTGCCTGTCTGTATGATTATTTTTCTGTATTCACCAATACATTTGTAAACAGCTCGGCAAACTGATAGAAGTACTATCAAGGCTGATCAGTTCAGAGAAGCGAGAAGAATTCTGAGTTGATCCAGACAGGGTAAGGAGCTATAAAGAGGTGAGGGAAACAGGAAAGGGAGGACGGTATCATCCCAGGAGCTGGGGTATCTTTACAGGGAAGCAATGGGTGTTAGGATGGGTGCAGAAGAGAGAAGTGGAAACTGACAAAAATATTGTATGTACTGCATGTTTACAAAAGATTTGAAGCTTTTCAGGAAAACTGGAAAAGCAGACTAAGAACTGATTGTTTTGCTCACTGAATCTGATTCACCCGGTAACAGAAAGAGATAACCAGGCCAAATATTAAGGGAGCAAAAATTAAGGGAAGAGCCAGCACAGTGGTGGAGAAAGGAACCAGGTTTCTGCAGATCCAGTCAGAAAGATGTTATTCTAACAATATTCTAACAAGAGCCTCATACTGCAGTATCTGCTTCTAGGAAAAATCACCAAACACCTTGAATCCCAGCCAATGGAGAAGAACAACACTTACCTCAGCAGTCTTACAGGTAACCCTCTGCCAGAGAACATCAAACCACAGAATGGGGCCCCCAACCAGACTGTTCTCCACACACGAGATGAAGAGCTTGCCAAGGCTGAGATTGGTGTTTTGGCTGCAATTCTGGTGGTGACGATGGTGGGAAACCTGGGTGTTCTTCTGGCCATGTACCGGTTAAGGAAGAAGATGAGCCGGATGCACCTTTTCATCCTACATCTGGGCTTGACTGACCTCGGGGTAGCCCTCTTTCAGGTGCTTCCCCAGATGATTTGGGAGGTGACCTATCGCTTCCAGGGGCCTGATCTACTGTGCCGAGTTATCAAGTACCTGCAAGTGCTGAGCATGTTTGCCTCCACCTACATGCTCATTGCCATGACGGTAGACCGCTACATGGCCGTGTGCCACCCACTGCGTACCCTCCAGCAGCCCAGCTGCCAGGCCTACCTGATGATCGGGGCCACTTGGCTGCTCAGCTGCTTATTCAGTCTGCCTCAGCTCTTCATCTTCTCAGTAACGGAGGTGCGTCAAGGCTCTGGGGTGCTGGACTGCTGGGCAGATTTCAAGTACCCCTGGGGCGCTAAGGCCTACGTCACATGGATGACGTTGTCTGTCTTTGTGCTGCCAGTGGCCATCCTCATGGTGTGCTACGGCCTCATCTGCCATAAGATCTGCAAGAACCTCCAAGGTAAGACCCAAAGTGGCGGGGCCTGTGCCACTGCTGCCATCTCCTATGCAGTCACAGCCCAGAAGGGAGCTGTGGAGTGCCCTTCCGGCTCCCGGGTCAGCAGCGTGCGCACCATCTCCCGTGCAAAGATCCGCACCGTGAAGATGACCTTTGTCATAGTGCTGGCCTATGTCGCCTGCTGGGCACCCTTCTTCAGTGTGCAGATGTGGTCGGTGTGGGACAAGAATGCACCAAATGATGGTGAGTAGAAGAGGTACAGGGTCAGCTTAAGCTGGCTTCCTCTGTAAGTGTTCATGGATCATGGCCAGTGCAGTCACTGGACTTTAACCAGGTCTACACATGGACCAAGTGTAGAGTTTCCTTTCAAGTCAAGTCAGATGTATATAGCAATTAGCCATTCTACTCCAGAATGTACACATAATCTACTCCAGAATGTGCTGCTTTTGGTTTCCCTACCTTAAATAGGATGTGGCAAGCAATGGCATCAGGCTAGAGAGTCCAACAGGGCACACTCCATAGAGTTTCCTTTCTCCAAAGACTTGTCCCAGGCCATTTAACATCATCTTAATGTTTTCAACAACATTTAAATACTGGTATTGATATTTCCTCTTGCATCCTGGCAGCTTGGATGTGTTCTTCTCTTTCAGATGATTTTAGCTCTCACCAGGTTATTTTCTCTGTTGTTGGTTTGGCTTTTAGTTATTCATTTAGTGTATATTGTGATGGTTTATCATGGAATTCAGACATATCCATTCCAGAAAAGATAGCACTCACTCTCTCTCACAAACACACACACACCCACCCCAAGAAGATGACAGATTTCACACAAAAATGCAAACAGGTATTCATTTAAACAGTTCAATGCCCTCTCTGTCTCTTGCACAGAAATGGACACCAGCTCCTCTATTATACATACAGACTTATAGAACAAAATCAATCACTTGCTCATGCATCTGTTCACATTAGGCAAGAAAGGAAGAAGGAAGAAGACTGATCTTTCAATACATACCTGCTTCTCTTGTACAGTCATTACAAAATGCAATGCCTAGCCAGATCTCTGTGGCAAATGTACATGATATATATTGTACTCTAATTGTATTGCATTGCTTTGATTGCATTGCTCTGTAACTCCATCTAGCTCTGACCGAACAGAACAGAAATTACTTTGCATATGAAGAAAGTTGTGGAGGGGGGGGTTCATTAATTATTTGCCCTAGAAATGTCTACACATTTTTAAAAGAGTTTATTACAATACAGATGTGCCTAAATCACAGTTTTGAAGTAACATTGGAAATCACATGCTTCAGTAGAAACCCAATTCATTACATAAATCAAATGCAAACATGTATGAATTATCATGCTGTAATGAATGTACAATATGCTTTCATGGTCTTAATTTCCTTATTTTGATTTCTTTACAGATCCTTAATCAGCTTACTTTTGCATGTTTTACCTAGGGAAGGATCCTTTATGGGGGTGTTTTCATCCAAAAACAGAAAATTGTTTACAGAGATTATAATTAAAAGTATTTAGAACTTTGGAGAAAGTATTTTCTCTTGCTTGGTGGATTTAAGTTAAAGCCTAAATAGCATGGTCAACAGAAGATAAAAGACTGGAAACAATACTTAAAGTGTCTGAATTAATAAAACCTGTTTGCTTGGTGCCTGAAAGATAACAGCATTGGTGCCTAATATGCTTCCTTAAAAAGGAAATTCCATAATTAAGATGCCACAGCCCTAATGCCAAAATGTCCCATTGTTAGTGGGGGAGAAACTTGGAGAAGGGCATTGGCAGATTAACAGAAATGAGCCATGAGCTGTTCAGGGCTCTGAACATACTGCATTCCAGTAAGACCTCAATATATAAATACAAAACTATATCTGACTTAGTACAAACCAGTGATTCTAACAATCTCAATTTTTGCATGTGTGTGGAGGGGGCGTTCTTTTATTAACAATTAGATACAACTCTTGCTGATTAGCAGGAAGTCATTCAGAATAATCCAATCTACCTCTTGCCCATCCCTTGGCACAGAAAACAAACACTTGTCAACATTTGCATGTTGCAAATGGAAGATCTGCAGCAAGTTGCCTTTCCAGGAACTTTCTGACCTTACTGAAGCATTGTGATAAGCTTCCAAGAAGACCTAGATTGTTCCTTGAAGCACAAACTGGAAACCATTGTGCTAATGTATTTAAAATGGTGAGATTGAACCAGTATCATTGAACCAGAGCAGAGAGCACACATACTTCCAGATTGCATTAAAATTGAACAGACGACAAATCTGTGCATTTATTAAATATAAAGTGCCTCATATATGAAGTATCTCTGGACATTGTATGGATTTAGAAAATACACTAAATCCACAAACAATGAAAAATCAGCACAGATAAAACATTCAACAGATATATGCCAGTATGATACATCATAAAGTACAAAAGCTAAAATGGCCAACAGGAAGGGACGTTAAAAACCAAACTGCATGGAACAAAAATGCAGACCTTAAAAATCCCGGGAGAACAGAATGGTCTTAGCTTACCACAGAAAGAAAGTACTGAAAACACTAAGTGGGCTTCCCTGGCAAGAGTATTGCAAAGTCAGGGGTCACCATCCTCTGAACTTCTGCTTGATGGGGCACCCGGAGGAGGATTTCTGAAGGTGACCTAAGGGTATGGGGAGCTACATAGAGAAAGTGAAGTTCTAGTCTGAAATGATGCTGAGCTTTTTAGGCAGTGGTGTCTCCGGGCCATGGTTATCAGAGATGCTGCACCAACACTATCTGTATTAGCAAGGATGCTGATGCCATCTGCTCTATCCCCAGCTTCCTTGTTTTCTCCAAACTCAGCTGTAAGCAAGAAGTTGGATGGGGCAGGAGGATGTGTTTTCCCAGCCGAAACATATTGTTCCCTTTTGTCATGCAAGTAATTTGTAAGGGATAGGGCCTTTGTCCTGAGCAGGCAATTAAGACCCAGTAAGTTTGCAAAAGGCTGCTCCTGGTGGAGGTGAAAACTGCCAGAGGTGGTTTGTTGATATAGTTCAATGCAGCCACCTGAAGTTTTGAACCTTCCTTAGGGGCTTGGCTACAGTGACAGTCATAATTTATTGCTACAACATGGCTTAAATAGCAGAGCCAGCATTTTGAATTGAACCTAGAAATGAACAGGAAGCCTGTGAAGGCAAGATAGGACCCATATAATTTGCTCATTAAAATGCCTGGTCTCAGTTAAAATGTCACAACCATATTTTTCTCTGGCTGAAGTTTTCAGAAGTCTACAAATGGACCATCTTCAGATAGGGTTGATAATGTTAATAGGATTCGCATTGTCACAAAGTTCATCCTTCTTAACCCAGAGATCCAGAATGCCTATGACTGTTCTTAGTCCTTATTACAAATTGCATAAATTGAACACTGCAAATTCCCTTTGTATGTTAATGCTGAGGAGAGCACATTTAACAGTAGCTTCACTTCAAAGCACCCTCAATCCATCAGTCTAGTGCCTGGAAGTACTCAATTCACACAAGTGCCCTTGACTTTAACTCTCACTGAATGTAATGGGAGTCAAGGGTAACATTAAACATGAAGTCCCATTCACCATGAGATCTTATTAATATTAATGGAGTTTATGCAACTTTAATGTCCCCTGGATTATTTTCTTAGAAATGCTGCTGCTCTTATTGAAGCCGACGACAACATTTTCTTTGGTAAGTTTGGAGCAGGAGCCCTTAGATTTAAATTTTTAGACGGAGGTTATGGGAAAGCATGCCTGTGCTTCCATTCCAAAAATTGTACAGCATGCTGATTCATTCCATAAAAACCAAACCAAATCACTAAGAAAGTGCAAAATAGTTGTGTTCCTCTACCATTGTCCACAGCTTTTGCCATTTCTCTTGCCTACAAATATTCTCACCTTTTCATAACCTTTGAAAATGAAAGCTATTTATTTATGAGGCCCTAAAAAGGAGATACAGAACCTCAGGTCCATAGGCCATATTTGGCCATCCTGGGGTTCTGCTTCTGCTTTCTGGACTGGAAAAGGTTGAACATCCCTGCTGTAAAGTACAGGGCTAAAGGTGAAAAAGCACATTCCACTCTTGACTGTAATAGGACTGGAAATGCATAACGAATGATTAATTGAGTTAAGTTTAATGTACCAATCAATTAAATTTCACATGAACAATATTTTGCAGAAAGGGTTAGAGAATGTCACAACAGGTTTCCCCTTAGAAGAGACATTTCAGAATTAAGGCGTTGCAGGGCATATTTTTTTTGGGGGGGGGGCACCTCTTCTAAGTATGCCTGCTGGCCATCTGTGTTCCTGAATTTTAAAAGAATAGAGTTTTAAAAGTTCACTGCTTTATCAGAACCAGATGTGTTTAAAGGGTGCAATCATATGCAAGCTTAGGTGCATATAGGCCTTAGGATTCTCCAGTCTGCAAAGGCCAAACCCCCAGTCTACCACCTCTCAATCAGCATGGAAAGAACTGTGCCAGATGTGCCCCAAGGTCACAAGTGAGTCTTGGAGAAAGAAAAAGGAGGCTGGAGCACGAAGGAGAGGCCATTATTACATCAGTTCCTATCAGAACCTCAGCCTCCTTCTGTCCCAAGTGCTAAATATTGAGGGTGCAAGTTTCAGCAGCTCTGACACCTCACTCCCACCACTCATAAGCATCTGGCACTGTATCCTAAGGATGCATTTCTTTGCATGTTTGGACAGAAAAAGCTCCTACAGTTCCCTCATGATTTGAGTCTAACAACAGCTAGCAGACTACAGATTCCTCATGCTCCATCATAGGAAGTGAATTGTAAGCCATCCAGAGACCCACTAGGTATTGGACAGGGTAAAAATAGCCACATGAATGAATGAATGAATGAAGTGTATTCCAATGATTCTGAAAAGGTGATCCAAAATTCAATGAATAATGAAGCCCCCTTCATTGTAGGAATCTATTACTGTACTGTGCTGAGATTTATCCTACCATTCTCATTTCACATGATTAGAAAATAGAAGTAATTCAAAAGAGAAGAATGTTTCAGAGAAATTACCTTGAGTAGGTGTGAACCTATCCTCCAGGAGGGGTACAGTGAACCCACCCTGTTCCCTAGGCTGCATATCCACAAGACACTCCAGGTAAACTCATACAGTCTTTACATGTAAGTTTTTTTCTCTAGTTACCACCATGAGGCCCAGCCAGCCTAGAGGTTCTTGTGCAGGGTAAAGACATCCACCTCCTTTTGCTCTTTCCAGCTTTGCATCCCCAAAATGTCCGACAGTATTGGTTTGAAGTACTTTCCCTTTGGGTGGCACACCTACCTGGAGCAAGGCCTGTCTATTCCTGTGGGAGAGGCTCCCCTAGCCTCTCTGCACAGGAGGCTTCTCCTGTGCTTCCATGCCAAGGATTAGCTCCAGGTTTGGATATGACAGCTGTTCTCAGTTATCTCTCCCTGCTTGATCCTTCCAGACTCCTTGCCAAAGGAAGTCTAGGCAGGGGACTGCAGAAAGGATTCTCCATGTTCTTCTGGTGTGACATACAGCAATTCTCTGTCCTCCTTCCAGACTCCCACTTCCCACTACATCCCAGAACTTAGTAGTTTGCTCTGTATGAGCCCCAGTTTTTGCTGATGCGGCTCCACTCACCCCAGCTGGGCTAGCCTAGCCTCACTGATCAGAAGTCTTCCCAGGCAACCTTCCATTTCACCTTTATTCTCATATCTGGCTGCTCAGAAAACCAGGACATAAAGATGACTTTGACCCAGTGAGTCCTGATGACCTCTTATAGTTCAGGGTTGCGGGTTTTCTGTTTACCTCACTTGGCAGTGTACATGTATGTTCTGTCTTTCATTGTACAGTCATCTCTCTGGAAGGCCGTAGTCTTCTTGGCTTCCCACACTTTACTGAAAGTCCAGAGGAAGACATAATGATGTAATTCCTCCCATACGTTTAATTCAGATCAGAAAGGGCTTGTATCTGGGAGACTGCAGGGTAATGAAAAGAACACAAGTGCCCTGCTGGATGAGACCACAGGTCCATCTGAACCAGCCCTCTGTTTATGTAGTGGCCAGCCAGCTGCCTGCAGGAAGCCAGCAAGTGGGATATGGATGAACTACCATCTTCCCATTTATATTCCTGGACAATGTGGGCATGCTGCCTCTGAAACTGGAAGTAGCAGGTAGCCATTGGGACTTGTAGCTACAGACAACCTCATCCTCTGTGATGTGTAATAGAAAGAAAGCACATGCACACAACTCTGTTAGCCACCTCACAGTGACTGGGCAAGCTCAAAAACACAGCCAAAATAAATTCAATGTAATTTATAAAATGCTGGAAGAATTATGCAGAAGAATGAAATGAACTTCCAGGAAACTAGATGGTACATTTGGGCACAAAACTAGTTCTACTGTTTCCCTGGATATGGAGGGACACAGTAGTGCCTCTCCTTGCAGTTACTATGGAAGTTTTAATGGAAGTAACAGAATTATCCACATTAGAGAAAATCCGCATCCACAATCATTCCTCAGAAATATGATGCCTGGAAGACTTTCACAGGCCTGAAAATAATCATTCCTCTATTGCTTCTTTGTTTTGTTTCAGAGTCCAGCAATGTGACCTTTACCATCACCATGTTGTTGGCCAGCCTCAGCAGCTGCTGCAACCCCTGGATTTATATGTTCTTTAGTGGGCATCTCTTGCAGGATATCCTGCACTTTTTCTCCTGTTGTGGGAGGCTCCCCTCCAATCTCAAGAGGCAGTTCTCCAATGGGAGCCTCTGCAGCCGGAAAACCACTATCTTGACTCACAGTCCCCAGAGCACCTCGGCAGCTGCTGGTGTCAGGATGCAGATGCAGCTGGGAAGTTTGAAAGATTGCTACCAGCCCTATGAGGACACAGTGACTGATTCTGGGGTACTCTGAAGTACTGGCATGGGCCAGTGTGATGTCAATAGAAGCTAGTTCTTCTGTGCTTCTTTCCTGGAGCTTTGAAACTAGCAAAGGGCAGAAGAACATGATGGTCTTAACTTGTGCAAGGGCTTTGTTGTATACAAACCCAAGTGTTTTAGCTGGGAAACTGCACCCAGTTTCTGTTGATATGACTTACTGCTAGAGAAAGAGCACCTCTCACTTTGGCTGCTTAGTCAGGTCTAATCCTTTTCTCTTCTAAGATCCCATTCTGAAACAAGTTGATTAATGTAAACTGTAATCACATGCCCATGAGCTCCAACAGTATGACCATAGGACTCACCAGCAGAACAATTATTTCATATGGGCACCACTGCCGTTGAAGCATCTCCCAGTCCCAACACCATCACAGCTTCCATGCGCCATTTGCCCTCCCTTCTCTCCCACATCTGATGGAAAGCACATCTCTCATCACATTCCTCACTGGCCGAAGAGAAGCATGGGCAAGCTCTCAGTCCCAGGCCAACAGTATATGAGGCTGTAATAGCCTCTGAACCAGGCACTTTGCCAAGATGACCCCTGATCCAACTAGTCCAGCATTGTTTTTCCAAATTCTTCTGAGAACTGCACTAGTTGGTTCATATGCAACATCCTCCTGGTGGTTTTCCCCCTGCACCTGAGGATCTGAAGTATACCGACTCTGAAGAAGTGAAATCCATTTTACTGATAGCCCTTGGTAGATCATCAGCCTTGAATACAAAACAAAGCAAAAGCACCCATCCCATCTAAGTACATCTTGGCAGTGAATTTCAGGTTAATTATGTAATCTATAAAGAAAGTGGGTTATATCCAATGTTAATCCTACTTAGAGTAAACCTGTGGACATGAATAGAATATAAATGACTGGAAAATATTGGATACAATCCACTTCTTTTGTCTTGAATCTGTTGGAAGTTCCAAACTCTGAGGTTATGAAAGGGAAGAAAATGAACTGAAACCCCTTCTTTTCATAATGTTTGCATAGCTAATGCAAGGATAAGTGATAATATGGAATTTTCTGTGTTGACAGTTTTGCAAGCGATCCATGCCATATCTCGATTCATGTTTTTTTCCTCTTCCTCCAGACAATTTCCTAATAGTAATGTTTCTGCGTTATCTATCCAGAGGAAACTATCTTCATTATCTAGCTTCAGAACATCACCTACCCTTACAACTCCATGCTGTGCACATCTACTCAGAAAAAACACTACTATCCTCAGTGGGGCTTACTCTCAGGCAAGTGTGCATCAGACTTCAGCTCAAGTTAACTGTGACAGTTATGTAAATAACAATTTAGCAAAAACAAAATGGCCTGTCTATTTGTTTAAAGAACAGAATTTACTTTGAGAAAATAGTGGAGCCCACGTTTGCTTACACAATTGATAGGATAGTCTCCAATAATCTATGAACGCAGCATGTAGATTTTTCTCTTCAAACTGCATCTTATCTACCATTTGGTTTTCTCTCTATGTAGTGTTATGGGGACAGGGAATCTCAGACCTGAGTCCAAACCCAGCCCTCCTGGGATCCCAGTCTGACTTTCTCAGGTTTCCCAGAGAGCTGTCCCCCTTCCTCTACTTCTTTGTTCCTCCAGCTTTCAACTGTTTGATAGCTCCATGCTTTTCCATGCAGTTACCCTTCAAGATGAAAAGCTGAAATTCCTCTCCTAAAGGTTTAGTTATTGGCACTGTGCAGTCTAATATAAATACCTGGGGAGTTATATTTTTTATTGGGGTAGCTTTGGACAGCCCAGCAGGGCAAAGTAGCCTTTTCTGAAAGAGAATTTAACTGTCTGGCTGAAAGAGCCTACTCACTCCTGTGTTAAAGGATCCTCTTGTAAAGCGAGATTGAACTGTTTTGAATGCCTTGAAAATATTTCTATTGGGATTTTGTCACAGGCTTTCAGAAGCCAAGGACTGCATGCCAGGTAACAGAATCAAAGCAACTGTTTTTTTTTTTTTTTTTTTTGCTATTGCAATGGCTGCTAGGACCAAGGAACACAGATTTAGACACACAAAGCCTTGGTTCAGGCTATTCTAGTCACATTTCTATGTCAATTCTGTGAATTTCTTTCAGTACACAATTGCCATGACAAGACCCTGATTGTAGCTTTACCCACTCTTGACATCAATAATAAAGTAAGCAAAAGAAACATATTCTACTTCAGCATTGCAATGATTCATATGCTCACTCTTCTGTCATTCCTACTGTAGCAAACAGAGTTCTACTTTCAGTTCACACAGGTAGAAAAGAAGAGTGCTGAAGGGTCTATTTGGTCATCATGTTTACCATTGGGGAATTCTACCATCAATGCAGACATTTTAGGTGTAGCTTCAGAAGACTGCGTTTGTGTAAAATATAGAGAGCACAAGGGAATCTTTTGTGCCCCCTGCTCCTTGGCCAGATGATGTCAGGGGTGGGGGCCCATTTGTGACAATGGGGCAGAGCAGTTTGCCATTATGACATCAGGTCCCTAGTCAGAACTTTGGTCAGGGAACCAGTTCTATCACTCCTGGGTAGAGTGAAGAAGACCAGAGTGTTGGCTACTCCATTGCTCTACCCACGTAGGGAAGTGAAGGAGTCCACCAGAATCACTCCACTACTGGCTTCCCAGAAATGGAAACAGGAGGAGGAGGAGGAGTAAGACAACAGCTGTAGTTCGGCTGTGTTCTCTTCCCTCCACACTCCAAGAGCTCAGGGCTTTGGAGAGGAAGAGGGACTGCATCTTAGTCCCCATGGGCTGGGTGGACCAGTCTAGTAGACCAAACCTGGCCTAAGAACCAGAGGCTCCATATCCTTGATAAGGAGCTTTCAATGTGGATGGCATTTTACAGACTGCAGGAGCACAGTTCCCTGTCCCAAGGGACATACAATCTAAAATACAACAGCAAGAAGAGGAAAGAGAAAGGTGGTGACCAAGTCCAAGATAGACTAATGAGCTTTCTGGGCATACCTATCAGAGTCCAAGGTTAAACTTATGAACTTGAGGACCCAGATACCTTAATCCCAACTATTAACTAAAGTCCAATCCAATAGTAAATAAGCACAAACCAGAAGTCAAGCGCAAGAAAGTCCACACAAGTAGAGGGTACCTTTGGAGCAGGAGTAGAAGCAAGGCCCAGAAGCAGAGAAAGCAGCCACGGATTTGCAGCAGGATCCAGGAGCAGGAATAGATCCAGAGTGCAGGGTCCACAGACAAGGTTTCATCTAGCAACAGGAAGCAGCACAAGTCAGGAGACCTTCATTGCTGGGGTAGCTTCTGGAAGGAAGTGCTCCCAGGTGATGCTCATAAGGGCACAGAGAGCAGCAGTAGGCTGTGGGTCCAATCCTGCAACTGCCAGGGCTGTTGTTCTGATCCTTGGTCAGAAGATGGAGCCCTAAAGCTGCCGCAAATCCTGACAATACCATACATATCATCACACTGGAATTACCTACTCTCCTGTTGACTATTGTAATGCTACCTCTACCCAATTGGTCCAAAAACATTCAGAAGCTGTCTTTGAGGATGGTTCTCCCAGTAATTAGCAGTGACTCAGAAAGCTGAGGCAAAATAATCCATGCTTCTCTGATATGCTGAGATTGGGCAGCCAATACCATATATCTCTATATCATTTTCATTTCAGTCAATACAAATGAGACTTTCATTCTGACAGACCTGGAGAAAGTGCTACACTGTGGACTGGCTGAGAGCAGGGTTTTACTGTTCTTAAAGATAGTGATTACCTGGAGTCTATGGACCATCTATGCTGCAAATCTTCTGGTAGAGAGCCTATTCTGTTATGGCCCCAGATTGTAGTACACTGTCCCAGGGAGGTGGAAGTGGCACTGATAGATACTATGTTCTTTCAGCACCAGGTCAAACTCTATTTGCTTGCCAGGCATTTTCAGCGACTATACCTTTAGTTGCTTGATGTAGTCTGTCTATCTGATGTGTATTTTGCATTTATTATTGTTTTTGACAATATTGTTTTATTGTATATTGTACTAGGATTTTGATTCCATTTTGTGTACTGCCCCGGAATCATAAGATAAAGGGTGGTATAAAATATTGTAAATAAAGAATAATAGATAATTGTAAACTAGGGTCATTTTACAATACTATCTTATCTTGACTGGTTATTTATTAAATTGATAATAAATAAGTTATCTGCATTGTATGAAAATATCAGTTTGAAAAAGAGAGGTAGAGCTGGGTGTCATCAGCATACTGATGACTCCACAGCCCAAACTTCCTGATGACCTCTTCCAGTGGTTTCATGTAGATATTAAATAGCAAGGGGGGCAAAATGGAAGCCTGTGCTACTCCATGGCAAAGTTGCCATGGTGCAGAGCCAAAGTCGCCCAGCACCTTCTGGAATCAGCTGTCAAGGCAGGAGTGGAACCACTGCCAAGCAGTGCCTCCTACTCCCAATCCCCCCAGCCTATCCAGGAGGATACCATGGTCGATGGTACCGAAAGCTGCTGAGAGGTCCAGGAGAACCAATAGGGATGCACTCCCTCTGTCTCTCTCCCTGCACAGGTCATCGTACAGGGCAACCAAGGCAGATTCAGTACTGTACCCGGGTCTGAAATGGGTCCAGATAATCAGTTTCATCGAAGAGTACTTGGAGTTGTCCTGCCACCACCCATTCCAACACCTTGCCCAAAAATGGGATGTTGGTCACCAGTCTATAATTGGCAGCCATCTCTGGATCCAGAGACATCTTCTTTAGGGTAGGCCTGATTACCACCTCCTTTAAAGGAACGGGCACCTGGCCATCCCTCAGAGAGGCGTTAATAACCTCCAGGATCCAGGAACCAATCCCGTGTTTGGCTTTGGTCAGCAGCCACGAAGGGCAAGGGTCGAGTAAGCAGGTGGTGGGACGTACTTGTCCAAGCACCTTGTCCACATCATCGGGCCACATTAACTGAAATTCATCCATTAATACCTGACCAGACAGAGTCATTGGTGTCTCCCCTAAGGGATCTGAATCAAT